CTGGGCCTGGGCTCTCTACAGGTTGTCGGAATCATCGGCATCATCGATGTCTGCGAGTCAGACTCCGAGTCGGATGAAGTCGAGGCGTTACTTTCAAGTGCCACGCAGATTAACAGTAACAAAAGATCGGCTCAGGAGGCGCTCAAGTGCGCACAGAGGGTGGGGGGGGGTTAGAGGCAAGTAAAGTGAGCGGGACAGCCCGACAGCCCTCTCGAGTGCCCATAAGGCGCAACGAATCTGCAGCATTGTGAAGTGTTGCACATTTGCTGATCAGCAAAAATATGTATCATAAATTCAATTTTAAGAAAAATATGTATACAATATTTTACTTCCACATGTTTTGTACCTAAATGGCCAAAAAGTGGATTGAAAATATGAAAAGAATATAAAGTCCAATTAAGAGCCTATTGAGCTTACTTTTTGGCCAACTTTAAGCGCGTGCCAGCCCTAACACCCCAGGCCGCATAATTGGATTATCGAGCCCTTTTGCCCGACACCATTGTTACAGATACAGATACATGCAAAGTAAAGATACAGATACATTCCCCCATGATAGATTGATCAGAATTCGGCTGCTGTGTTATGCTTCATCAGCATTCGAGTTGTCACATGGCCGTAAAAGCTTCTTAGAATTAAAGCTAATTGCACTGTTTGGAGCAACATCATCCCAGCCAGCAACGTGATGCGGCACATTTGGCTTTGATGGCTCTTTAGGGCCAGGCTGATATGTACATTCCTCGCCCGCTCCGGCTCTGGCTAATTGGCCTGTAGAGTTATATAGCATCAGTTTTTAGCAGTTAACCCCCCCTCCATCCGGACCATAAGCATGCATGCAAATACGCAGAAACATTGACTTCATCTCATCGTTTTAGCATAAAAGTTTTTTCGTTTCTTGGGTTTTTTGTTTTACTGATTTTTTTTATTGATTGCCGCCGTCGTCTGACATTGTTGTTGTTGTTGTTGTTTTCGATGTTGATGTTGTTCCTGTTGTTGGTGCACGACTCACGTTTCAAAAACACAAAACAACAAGGAAAAAAAAGAATTCAAAATAATAAAAAAGAGTGTGCCTCAAAACGCCTGAACGTCTCTCGAGTCGGGTTTTGTCGAGTCTTTAAGCTCGGAGCTCGCTTTGCTGGGTTTCTCTGGGTATTTTTTGATTTTATTTGTATTTTGTCCGTTCGCTTTTCGTTCCTTTTAATGTCTTTGTAAACATAATTGCAACAACTCCAATAACAGATTGTTTGCGCGACTTTAATCGCTTTGTCGTGAAGTGTGAAATATGAGCGTCCGTCCAAGACGCTGGGGAGCTTTTTGGCTGCGTCTTTTTAGAGCTGAGGGCTCCTCCAAGTACTCGCCTCGGTTTATAAATATCCATACCATATATGCTATGTACTTTTAAGCTGATTCCTTTTGTCTCCATCGCTATCACCACAATATTTCCAAGATGTGTGTGGCTTGTGCTCAGTACAACAATGTTGTGTGGGTCTCTTTTTTTGAGCGGAGGGCGAGGGTCGGAGGGCAGGGAGGGCAGGGAGCCAGCAGCAAGTTCAATTAGCGCATTGCTTCGATTTGCTAAAATTTAATCCGAGCATAAAGCACGAAGTGAATGCCACATCGGTCAGATAAGAAAACCACCTCTAGAAAAATGGCCAGGGAGAAAGAGTGAGCGAGAAAGAATCTCTAAGCGATAAGCGGGCAGAGAAGCCGAGAAACGGACGTTTTAGCCACGCACACGTGTGCCGCCGAACCATTCTCCAGAGAAAGAAAGTGATAAGCAATTAAATATTATTCTAAAAATATTATTCAGATTCCAAAAGTCATAATCTACAGCTTTTGCCAAAAATAATGACTGCAAACACTATTAGAGTTATTCAAATTTTATATTTATACTATTTTTTCAAGTGCATTCATCATGTTTATGTTCGCCTTTGGACCTTGGAGTGCAGAGCGCCCGTCAACAACAGCTTGTTGCAACAACACTCGACAGCGGCAACCTGTGGAGCCTGCGTGCCATTAGCCATGGAGCATGAAACAAAAGCCAGGCCGAGAAAGATGACAAGGGCAGGAGGAGACGGGGTAACGGGGTGAGGGGGATGCCTGGGCCCAAGAAGCGAGTGGAGCTGGAGTGCATCGGCCAACTGCCACAATGCATTTGCGATAAATGGCTGGGCTGGATGGCTCGATGGCTGGAAGGCCCTTAAAAGCCAACGACAACAACCACGAAGTGAAAGATTTGCGCAGTGAGATAGCTCATTTTGGATCTGAGCCGGGCCCAGGCGAGACCAGCCGGGGTCTGGGCCCAGTTCTTCGTTTGTTACCTTGGCTAATCGGCGGCTATGTAAAATGGCTGTTGTACGTGCGGCGACTGAGTTGCAGCCAAAGTCAAGACCATAGACGTGATGCTGATGCTGCCTATGCTGCTGTTGCTGATGCTGTTGCTGTTGCAATTGTTGTGGTGTCAACATCAGCAACATGAAGCAGCAACATCGCCCGTATTGGACCCATGCCGACCGCAGCCGCATTCCGCAATGTAAGGATTCATGCCGCCCCACTGGCAACAGCCCCGGCAAGGTCAATAAATCCAGAAAGCCCGATTCGGTGGAGAGGAGTAATGTGGATGATGATGATGGGAAAGGTAGGAATATTTTTAAAAATTGTTTAAAGAATATTTCCAGGTATAAAAATAAAATGACGGAATTTGGTTCTTCTGTTTCTATATAGGGTTAAACATTGAACATTTTTTAAAGCCATTTAATACGTATGAGAAAAAAAAGATTTTAGATATAAATTCTAAAACCCTAAATATGTATAATTCTTTAAACAAAGTTCCAATAAAATCCTCATTTATTAATGCGTTGATGAATTTCGCCCGCTTGTCACCCCTCGATTTCAAACAAAGCTTTCATAATTAGATGAGAATTAATATCATTACCTTTGGCTAGAGTTCAGACATTCCAATTCGAATATTCAAATTCCAAGCTATTCATTTTTTTCATTCGTTGTTGTTGCGGCTCATTTGCTTATTTCAAATGAAAATGATTATTTCTGCCGAGGCTATGCTTGTTGTTTGTCTCCTCTTGATTTGTGTTTTTTTTTTTTCTGCCCAGAGAGTGTGTGCACTCCGAGATTCGAACTTAAACCGGTTTCGGCCGTAATATACAACATCACAACTTCGAATAAGCCACTGAGAGGCTCACACACACGAGGCAGAGCTTAATTCTCTTCCCCTTTCTCGGTGTCAGTTAAGATTTCTCAAGAAATGATGGCTCAGCATCCGAGCAAAATACAGGGAAATGTGGTGCTATACTATGGTCCCCTTATTCGGTCTTTAAACTAAAAAACTAAATTCCCGACAATCATGGGGAATATTAAACCATTTTCGAGAGCAATAAAATATATTTTAAAGTGCCTCTAGATGTGCATCTCTTGGTTCAGACAATTCTTATCAGTACCATTAATTTAACGGGAATATCCCGCAAAGTTTATTTATTTAAAAATTTTGGCAATCTTAAATGATGCTGTACATATGTATAAGACATTGCAAGTATTGTTCATTTGAATAATATTCATAAATGTTTAAGAAGTTCATAGGTTTCAAGCCTCTAATGTCATTTCAATGACCCTATATATTAAACAAATCTTTAAATTTAGGCATTATATAATCATATTTATAAAAGAGAGACTCGGAGCCAATTGGTATTTCATTTGATTTTAAATTCATATGATGACAGTCACAGCTCTGATTATTTTTTTCATTGGCCTAATAGTGAAAAATCAGGCTGCTTATATTGAATTCCTGGAACCGAAATGTTTGCCCCCTTGTGGAAGAATAACAGGAGGACGTGTGGCAAACATGTTTGGCAATCAATGGATGGTGTTACTACTAAGTGAAGTACAAAATTGTGGCGGTTCGCTTATCACTAATCGTAAGTAAACTTATATTTTTTGGTAATTATAATACACACAAGTTAACGTTATTTATTGGTATTTAAGGCTTTGTATTGACGGCGGCGCATTGCCAGAGCCCTAACACGTAAGTAGAAGTATAGATTTTCAATTTTATTTTTTTTTCAACTCCCTCCTTCTTTTCGCCCCATCAGGTATGCCACTCTAGGAGATTACCTAATCACATATGATAGTGGAAGGGAAAGGAGAATTCCTGTGGACTTGCAAATCCCTCACCCCTACTATAATTCAGCTTTGAAGAAGAATGATATTGCACTTTTCAGATTGGCTCAACCAGTGGAGTATACTAGTGAGTAAAAATTAATTATACGGATAACAGAAACAGAAACTAAAATGAATTGTCCCCTAGCCTTCATACGACCTATCTGTTTGCCCTTGAACTACGATGCTCTCAATGGAGTTTCCCGTTTGACTGCGACAGGATGGGGTAGGACCTTCTATAGTGAAGTCAGCTATGTTTTGAAGTCGGCCACCGTGAATATATATGACAGATCGTGGTGTAGTTCGCTTATGCGACCCGTAGACGAGTCTCAAATATGCGTTAGAGCTGGTGATGGCAGTCCCTGCTTCGGAGACTCGGGCGGCCCACTCACTTTTTATTTTGATTATGGAGGCACATACGTGCCAGTTCAGATTGGCGTAGTCAGCTATGGAACATCGGGGTGCGTAACAACCTCTGTCCACTCTCGTGTTTATTTCTACATGAACTGGATATCGGAAACTGTTCGCCAACCTGATGTGCCACAATATGAGGACTATACATTTTATTAATAAAATCATCCCAAAAGAGGCAATAAAATATTCCAAAAGCAAAAAAAAATATATAATTTTGAATTTTGATTATTTTCTTGACAATTGTGATTAATAAATTTAATGGCATAATTTGTATACACATATGTACATATTGTATACTTATCAATGTATAAATTTCACTCTCTAGGCGAAAGAAGATTTAGTCCCAATTTGAAAATGAAGAAAGCCACAGTAGAGATTATTTTTTTCATCAGTGTGATTGTGAGAAATCGTGCTGCTTCTGTTGAATTTTTGGAACCAAAATGCTTGCCCCCTGGTGCAAGAATAATAGGAGGCCGTAGGGCAGACATGTTCAACAATCAATGGATGGTGTTACTTCAAGGTGAAGCACTAAATGGTATCAATTATTGTGGCGGTTCGCTTATCACCAATCGTAAGTAGTATTCGATTTTGTTGGTAAATAGTATATGTACACACATAATTATTTTAGGTTTTGTATTGACGGCGGCGCATTGCCAGAGCCATAACCCGTAAGTAAGAGTGTAGATTTCCAATTTCATGTCCTCACAGACACTCCTTCTTTTCACCTTTTTTGATATGCAACTTTAGGAGAATACTTTAGAGGTTATGATAGTGGAATAAAAAGGAAAATTCCTGTGGACTTGCAAATCCTTCATCCCTACCATGATCCAACGAAAAAGCAGAATGATATCGCACTTTTCAGATTGTCGCGGCCAGTGGAGTATACATGTGAGTAAAAATTAAGACAACGGATAACTAAAACAGAAACTAAAAAAAATGGGTTCTTAGACTTTATCCGACCTATCTGTTTGCCCTTGAACTACGATGCTCTCAATGGAGTTTCCCGTTTGACTGTGACAGGATGGGGTACGACCTTCTATAGTGAAGTCAGCTATGTTTTGAAGTCGGCCACCGTGAATATATATGACAGATCGTGGTGTAGATCGCTTATGCGACCCGTAGACGAGTCTCAAATATGCGTTAGACTTGGTGATGGCAGTCCCTGCTATGGAGACTCGGGCGGCCCACTCACTACTTCATTTGATTATGGAGGCACAGACGTGACAGTTCAGATTGGCGTAGTCAGCTATGGAAGATCGGGGTGCGTAACAACCTCTGTCCACACTCGTGTCTTTTCCTACATGGACTGGATATTAGACATTGTTCGCCAGCATGACATACACCAAGATGAGGACTATACATTTAACTAATAAAGCTATCTTAACTTTAATAGGCAAAAATATAAATAATATAAAATAATAATAAAAAAAAATAAAAAAAAAGCTGATGCTTGTGATTTTTTATATCTTGTAGGCTTTGGAGCTCACTAAAACAAGGTTCCTTCATCCTTTTTAAAATGAGTCGCGTCGACTTTTGATACGAACATTTTAAAACTTTTTTTTATTTTTTAGAATTGATTAGAAAATAAATGGGCGACATTTGAACAACAAACATTGCCAATTTTTCTTAAATTGTACATACATAGTTCAATTTACCTAACAGACTACCAGATGAACAAACTTTTTGTCAATTTTGTCATTTGAGAAATTCCCGAGAAATTTTAAACAAAAAGTCGTGTAGGGATCGGTGAGGTGTCAATCGACGCGTTCAACAGAAAATTTTTAATGCTTCGGCTATATGTATATAGTGTCTCCTAGACCCCGCCAAAGCATGCGATGCATCGTCAATAATGTTAACGAAGCTCAAGTATTTAAATTTTAAAATAAAAGACCTTTTTTTAATCTTTTTGTTTAAACTTGAACTTTGATTATTTTTTGATATTATATGTCTGTCATATACTACATGTTCAGAATGGAATAAATATCAATTCTAGGCGAGAGCAGATTCAGTCTTAATTCAAAAATGAAGACAGCCACAGCAGTGTTTATTTTTTTCATCAGTGCGATAGGAAAAAATCAGGCTTTGGTTGAGTACCTGGAGCCTAAATGTACTTCCTCAACTGCAAGAATATCGGGTGGACAGCTGGCAGACTTTGGGAGCAACCAATGGATGGTGTTACTAGAAGGTCGATTATTATGTGGCGGATCGCTCATCACTAATCGTAAGTCACCTTGGATTTTCCGGTTAAAGTCATAGTCATTTCAAAAATCTTAGGTTTTGTATTGACTGCGGCGCATTGCCAGAGCGAATTAAAAACGTAAGTAGAAACAGAGATTTTCACTGACATGTCCTTTTGATTTTTATTTATTTCTTTACGTCCCTTCAGGTATGCAACTCTTGGAGAATACTTCCGGGGTTTTGATGTTGGATTGGAAAGAAAAATTCCTGTGGACTTGCAAATTCCTCACCCCGACTATAATCGAGATAAGCACAAGAATGATATTGCTCTTTTTAGACTGTCTCGACCTGTGGAGTACACTAGTGAGTTAAAATTGATTCTAAGGATATCCACAACCGAAACTAATACGGATTCTTCCCTAGTGCACATTCGACCTATCTGTTTGCCCACAAACTACGATGCTCTGGACGTTGTCCGCAACCTAAATGTGACAGGATGGGGTCGGACGAGCTATAATGCAACAACGAGCTCTGTTTTAATGACGGCCACTGTACTCGTACATGACAGATCGACTTGTAGAAACCTCGGAAACATTGACGAGTCCCAGGTATGTGTTGGACCTGCTGATGGCAATCCCTGCAATGGAGACTCGGGTGGGCCACTTACTAGTTTGGTCAATTTCCAAGGTAGTGGCACAGTGACAGTTCAGATTGGACTAGTAAGTTTTGGAATATGGGGTTGCCAAAGTCTATCTGTCCACACTCATGTCTACCACTACATGGCCTGGATATCGGAAATGGTTCGCACACATAAAACCGACATAAACGAAAATAAGGACTATTCTTTTGAAAATATTTGATTTATAAGAATACCAGAAACATATTTTCTTTTCTAGAAAAATTTTCCAAAAGCAAAAAATTTGTAAAAAATTATATCTTAAATTTTAAAATAAATCTGTCTAAATATTTCAAGGAACTTTCTCTTCTTGGTTATTTTAAAGATAGTTCAGGGAAAAGTATCCCAAACAGATTTCTGATTCGTGTTTGCAACAAAATGAATAAAAAACATAAAATACCGGAAAATTTAGTCATTTTAATATTATAATCGCAAATATCCGGGTATTTTTTCTACGAAAAAAAAATTGAATTTATTTTTCTTACTTATTAGAGTCCTATACAGGAGCCACAATATTTGTGGTTCTAGAGACGTTTTTTGTTTTAAATTAATAGAGCATTTAAATTTCTCTTATCGGATGATGTTCATGGGAAATTCCGAAGAAATTCTTGGCACTTTGATTGCCTACAGCTGTATAAAAGCTAGACTGCGCTCAATCAAAAATTTAGTTCGACTTTAAACATGAAGACTGCAATAGCTGTGATCATTTTAATAATCAGTATGATAGTAAAAAATCAGGCTAGTACTAAAAAGTTGGATTTCAATTACCTGGATAATGACTGTGTGCCAAAGAACTATAGAATACTTGGAGGAGGCTTGGCTGAGGTGAATAGCCATCAATGGATGGTGCTATTAGACGGAAGTCAATGGTGTGGCGGTTCGCTTATCACTAATAGTAAGTGAAATGGGGTTTTTTTTTAAAGTAAAATTATAATCGATTTATAATTTTAGGGTTTGTGTTGAGTGCGGCGCATTGCCAGAGCGAATCTCGAATGTAAGTTGAAATATTGATTTTTACTTTCGTGATTCATAGTTTTTGTCAGGTTTGCGATTTTAGGAGAATACACAAGATATAGAACTGGAACTGAAAAGATAATTGAAGTGGACCGGCAAATCCCCCACCCCGAGTATAACAGGACTGAGATCAAGAATGATATTGGACTTTTCAGATTGTCTCGTTCAGTGACATACGATGGTGAGTAAAAATGCATTCTACGGATACCTGAAACAGAATATAAAACTTATATTGCCCCAGAGTTCATTGGACCTATCTGTCTGCCCGTGAACTACAATCCTCTGAATATTGCCTCCCATTATAATGTGTCTGGATGGGGTAAACCGAATTTATATGAAACAAGGAGTTCTTATTTAAGGACTGCTGTTTTACAAGTTTACGACCGATTGGAATGTAACAAATACTTCCGAGTAAGCATTGACAGTTCTCAAATATGTCTTGGGCCGGGAAATGGAAATACTTGTGGTGGCGATTCTGGCGGGCCAGTTACTTATTTGTTAAACGGTAATACAATTCAGATAGGCTTAATTAGTTATGGAGATCAGATATGTCATAATTTTACTGTACACACTAATGTTTACTTCTACAAGGACTGGATACGAAACGTTATACAAAATGAAATTGATATTGACTATTCTGACATGTTTTCATGAGAATCTAAATAAAATAATATAATTAATGAAAATAATTTAATTTTAATAAGCTGATTATTTTATTTATAACAAGAGAGCAAAGCTAACTTCGGGCGGAGCCGAAGTTGATATACCCTTGCAGTTAAAACCGGATATATATCGCAAACATCGGATATAGTTGGCCGATCCTTATGATTACATAATAATAAAACCAATTAATTACAATAAAAAATCTAAACAAGAAAGGAAAGCTAACTTCGGGCGAAGCCGAGTAGCCGATATAGTAGGCCGATCCTTAAAAATCAGTTATAAGGCACCTATAGAATATAGTCGGCCGATCCGGGCCGTTCCGACTTATATACTGCGTGCAAAGGGAAGAATGGTGTGTGTTTCATTGTTTCATTTATTTTCATGAAAGTGGTCTGAATAATTTTTTAATTTATTCAAAATTATATAATTTTACAATTTAAAGTTAAATAAATAAATACATAAAAAATTGTCAAAAGGAAAAATTTTTACATCACTCTTACATTTTACGGCGCCATCTAGCGCCGACAAATAATAATGTCAGTTTCTACATTCTACATACACTAGTCATGCCGCCGGCCAATGCGTGTCGCTGCAAAACTACAAAATGGTATGACCGTTTCAATATTTGGAAAACTTGAATGTTTTTTGAAGCATTTTAAATAAAAATAAATGATATAAAAGAAGCATTTAAGAAATACCACTGCATAAAATAATCTTTTGTCTACTTAAGAGTTTTTAGCTCTCTATTATCATTATTATTCATGCATTTGGCGTACAAAGGTAAGCATTGTCTCCAACAATTTGCACAAACTTGTGAAATGGCTTGAAAATCTTGATTTGATATTGATTTTTGAGCCATTCCGTTGGACAGATTTTACAACCACTGTGCTGGTTTCTGCGATGTTCCAGTTATGAAGCGGTCGTCGCATAATGACCGTCGGAGAATCCAAACCAGTACGACATACCATTAACCCTCGTGTGCCATTGTTGCACGTCCACACAGGTCATGCCACCGGCCCAACCATATCTGCGTTGGCGTTGGCGCATGCGCACTCGCATGGATCGAAGGGGGAGATCCGCATAGCGCTATATGGCCATATATCCAGCAAAAGAACACCCGATGTGGGCAACCAGGCGTGAAGTTTTCCAACTTCAATTTTGGTCTGTGCTTTGTTTTGCTTTCTGCCTTTTTTGCGGGTGTGTGGGGGCTGTTTAAGTTTTTGTTTTCATTATATTTCAAACGGGGGCAGGGGTGCCCCGATCGAGTCCCTTTTGTCGGGGTAACGTGCATGCGTGTCGGTGTCGCCACCACCGAAATATGGGCTCAAAGGGGTTCCAATGGAAGGGAGGGGATGGAAAAGGGCCTTTTGTCCAATATCCCAGAGTGCAACAATTGGCTGCCAGCTGGGTATCTGTTGCACACACAAGGAAGTGCACTAAGAAAAATTATAAAATATTTTCAAACGATCTCCCATTTTGTCCTAATATAAATTTTAAATAAAAAGCAAATCTAAAAATATGATGAATTTTTAGTGTAATCACTCAACATATTTATCATAGAATAGTTACATTTAATACAATAATAACTAATGTCTCTCTCTCTGTATGGGCACTCGCTGTTCTTGCCATAAAACACTTCATGCATAACTTTGACTACATCCCCCCCTTAACAGGGCCCGCGAATCCGTAGCCAAGACAACGGAGAGTCGCATTAGAGCCGGGCCAATTGTGCCACGCTGCGACTGCGCTGTTGCTGTTGCTGTCGGCTGCATTTGATACCGGCTATTGCCACATCGGGGCTTAATGAATTTCCAATTGTTTGGCATTTTGTTCTCATTTGGAATTCTTTTTTTTTGTTTTTGTTTTTGGAAACCCATACAATTGATTTGAGGTAAGCTTCGTCACGAGCTCAGCTGCCTAATTGCTTAACAAACCTTTAATTGTCGACTCACGAACATTTGGAAAAAATTATAGAGAAGTTGGACATCTGCAGCGGAACTCACCTGCAAATAAAGAATTAAAGTTTAGATTAGTCAGGTTTTAAAAGTCTTTTGAAATATATATAAGATTTGAAATAATAATGATATATATTATTGATCCCCATTGCAAAACGCTGACAAACTCTCATGATTGCGTTCACTGTTGCCTCTTTGGCTGACTGCTGGCTTGCTTTCCCAGCACTTGCAACACTTTCGCTTCCCAGATAGTTTCCGCAAGCTCCGACCAGCCCCACCCCACCCGGACCGTCGCGACCCGGCCCTTTCCACACTCGGCTTTCAATTCACACGCTGTGCGCCCAAACGCGAAAAAGTTCTCACGACACTGAAAACAAACCAACAAAACACAAAAAAATAAGACCTAGTGATGCCAGCCAGATGAGAGGCACTCCTCACTCACTTTTTTTTGCAATTCCGCCAAGAATTTTTCACATTTACCCCAAAACACAGTTGCAGTTGCAATTGGGGATTGCAGAAAAAACAAAGCGAAACACATGGGAGATCCCTAGTTCCAGATGCTAATTGTGGGTTAGCAGATCTTTGCTTTTTGCTGTTTTGGCTTTTGCAATTTGTGTCAATTTCGTTCTTGCCATGACGATAGAGAGCCACCGAGATACACAAACGAGATACAGATACAAAGGTCAATGCCACAAATGAATTTCAAAGCGAATCAAGATCGTCTCGGTACTTGATGAGTAATGTGTTTGAGCATCTGATGGCAGCTCTGAATCATATTGAAATTTCATAATTTCCAAGAATATCAGCAGAGCAGATGGAATCACTTTCTCCCAGCAAAGTCTCCGAGGTATCTTGCAGATCACAATTGCCTCGATTGTTCCCAACTAATCCCGCTTATTATTCAAAACGTTTTCGGCCACCTTATCGCCATCTGATTGTACCCTAAACGTTTTCCCAATTCCCACAATTTCAGCATCCGCTCGCCCCATATGCAAATGCCCACCTGATGGAAACAAAAACCGAAAATAACAAAAAGGTTGACCCACGGTGAACTCGAAAACTTGAGAATGAAAAGCAATCTTCACTCACATTATAAATCATTCGAGCCCGAATTCCGAATCCGGCCAAGTCAAAGGGGCCGAATGTTAATTAAGTGCTAACTGCAGATTCTCCAAATCGTGGCTTTACATTGCTGATTTGATGGGCAATAAAAAATGTGGACATCCTATATATTGTAGATATCGTAGGCGGATGTTGGATGGCAGACAGTATTTTTTATTGCAGTCTGCGACTGAATTGTTCTGCTCCAAATAGAAAGAGTTATGCAATGGCCAGGAGTATCAACTATCATCTATGAAATTGTGTAATTTCTCCCTCCTAAGGATCACCTTGTGATTCCGGATTTCTGGCCGCTGCTGTGCCCGGACAAAGTACGCTGCTGATAGCCGTAGCCGTGTCAAAATGTTATCAGAGCCAGAGCCAGAGCCAGAGGCGAACCAAACTCAATAATAATCATTGGCTGATGGAAGCGCTGAGCTGCAGTGTTTGTTGTATGAAGTCCG